TGTCTAAAATGAAGTAATCTATTCTGGAGAATGACTGCTGCGCTGCAGAAAAAAATGAAAATTGTTTAGATGTTGGGTTCTTAAATCGCCATGGGTCCACCATCCCGTATTCTTCAACAAAGGAGTTCACCACTCGAGCTGAGTTTGACAGTGGTCTAGAGGAGACAGCGGAGCGGTCCAGAGTGTGATTGAGGGCACAGTTAAAGTCTGCCCCCAAAATTAGGTGATGGGAGTTCAAATCCGGGAGCAGAGAGAAGAAATTGCTAAAGAAATCGGCATCATCTGAGTTGGGAGCATAGAGACATGCAAGCACAACAGGTGTGTCCGGTAACTGCTAGAATCCACTTCAAGACACTGGTACTTGCTTACCATGCTGCGAATGGATCTGGCCCTTCCTACATCCAGGACATGGTTAAACCGTACACCCCAGCACGTGCACTCCGCTCTGCATCAGCCAAACGACTCGCTGCACCCTCGCTGCGAGGGGGACCCAAGTTCCCATCAGCAGAAACACGTGGGTTTGCTATCCTGGCTCCAAGATGGTGGAATGAGCTCCCCATTGACATCAGGACAGCATATAGCTTACACACCTTCCAGACTGAAAACTCATCTCTTTCGACTCCACTTCGAGCGATAGAACTATTAACAAAGCACTTTTATACTAATAAAGGACTGGATTACCTAAAGCCAGTTGAGTAGCACTTGAAATGTTTGGCTCTATGAAACCTGATGTACTTTATGATTCTGTTTTCTTCAAGGTTGTGTCTTCCTGGTCGAATGTACTTATTGTAAGTCGCTTTGGACAAAAGCGTCAGCTAAATGTAATGTAATGTAATGTAATGTAATGTAATGTGTTGTACAATTGACCTTGCACTATGATATAGCGGCCATTTGTATCTGCAATTACTTTAGATTCCACAAACTGCACATGCCTACGTATCAGGATCGCTGCACCCCTATATTTGGTGTTGAATTTGGAGTGGAAAATGTGAGAGAAACCACCCCGCTTGAGTCTAGAGTGATCAGAAGTACGTAAATGAGTTTCCTGGAGATAAACTATATCTGCCTTTAGCTTCTAGAGGTGGGAAAACACTTTGCTGCGCTTTACTGGATGATTGAGACCTCTAACATTCCAGCTAACCAAAGTAGTTGCCGCCTTACCCACACTCGGTGCCCTGTTTGCCTGGGTCATTGTGGGACCTTAGACAGTAATCTAGCCCCCTGTCAGAAGGGTGAGGGAGAGGAAGGGAGGGAAAGGGGTTTGGGTCACCTTAAAAAAACTGAAAAAACTGAAATAAAACACACAGCAATAAGAACATAAACACCATTGAGAACCTAAAATAGAAGGTCCATATGTAATTGAAGTGATTGAAACAACATTCACAATAAAGAGCTGGTCCCTCCCCAACTGAGGGACTGCTACCCGCCCCCGATAACACTCGCACCTCAACGTGGACAGCTTACCTGGCGAGATCGAGCCCTGCCAGAACCATCAATAGCTTTAGATAAACCTTGTGCTAATAGATATAGACAAACCTCTAAGTTGAACATTCAAAACATGGTCTCAGTAAAAGTAACATACTTATTAACCAGTTATGGCAACATATGCAAACATCCAGTATTGATTGTTGAATGAAAAGTAGAGACAGAAAAACATGAACCTCCCCAGGAGTATAGGAGAGCAGTTGCTTGAACTAGCGGGCTGTAAGCCAACTGGCTGTTATAAAATGTGGGCTAGTATGAGCAGCGCGAGCTGGCTTAAATTACACAATAATAAGAAAAACCACAAACGTTCGTAGCAAGCCCTAGCCCACAGCCCCATATACGTACATGTGGGAAATTCAACGCCACTATCCGGCGCTGCATTAGTCCGTCAGTCAGCTTACCTATAGCATCTTAGCCGCTCTGTTTAGCCACGTTCCTCAAAACAAAGTCCTTCGCCTCCCCCGGGTCTGTGAAACTGTGACGCTTTCCATCGGCCGTTGTGATCCGCAAAACCGAGGGATACCACAGTCCGTACTTGACACCATCACAGCCTCTTAGAATGCCTTTCACATCCCTGAAGGCGGCTCTCTGCTTCGCGACTGCTTGGGTATAGTCGGGGAATACTCTGATCCTGTCTCCGTGTGACGTTGTCGGATCTGTGGCCGTGGCTGCCTTGCGGAGGATCGCTTCCTTCTCCCGGTAATAGTGAAATCTCACCACAAAGGCGCGGGGTGGCTGGTCCTCCTGGGGCCGTTCCCGTAGGGTGCGATGGCATATGTCTAGTAATGGCTCTTTTTCTAAGCCCAGCGTTTCCTGGAGTCGTTTAGCTACAAAGTCATTTGGGTTCTTCCCTGCCTCCCGTTTTTCTTGTATCCCGGTGATGCGGAGGTTGCACCTCCTAGACCGCGCCTCCAGGTCCTCACTCCTGTCAGAGAAGATTTTCATGTCCTTTTTTAGCTGCTGCACGTCTCGTTCGAGAGTGGTAATGAGGTCCGAGTGATCATTAGCGGCAGTATCCAGGTCTCGACCCGGTCCTCCAAAGACTTGGTGCGGCTGCTGACGCGGTCAACAGCGGATCTCAGCTCGTCCCTCAGTTGGCTTATTTCACGTCGTAGTTCTTTAGACTGCATCTCGGCGTTGTCATCAATTTTCTTCAGCAGGTCCTCTCTGAGAGATTGAATGGCCCGTAGAATCGCGGTCTCATCACCTCGTGCTGCGCTAGCAGCTAGGGGCCCTGCCCCAGCACCTTTAGCCGGGCTAGCACTATTAGCTTTCGAATCTGGCGCAGCAGACGCCTTTTTGCGAGAGGAAGACGACATATTTCAAATGAAACTGTTGGGCGGAGGCAAGGAAGAACAGCTTAGATTAAAGTTGCTTGAATATAGTGTAGAGGGTAGTTATCTAATATAAATATTCTGATTCTGGCGAGGAACTCGAGAAATGCGACCTCACATGGCTCCGCTCAGACCGGAAGTCCTAAATACATGTTTAACTCCATTACAGTTGCAGGACCCACCAGATCTCAAGTCTTCTGTTCTTTGTTGACGTCCCGATGCTCATATTTAACGTGTAGATGTAAGACGACCCCGATATTAATCCATAAACTCCTGCAGCAGACACACAGACAGCTGTAGCTCCGCAGGAGGAGACCCGCTCAAACGTGGATGTTTCAAATGTGAACGACAGGCGCGGACAGTTCTCATTGGCAGGTTTCTTCGATTACATTTATATTAACCAATCAGGAGTGTTGTGGACTCATTCCAAACATGCCTGACTTTTCTGCCGTGTTCTGGCTGAATTCTATTTCAAGTCCCGTAGCTCTGGCTGTCGGCCAGAATCTGAAAACCATACATTATACTGTAAAACTAAGGTTTATTACTGTATATTAACCAATGGAAAAAAACACAGCAACAGAACACATCAATAAAACAAGGATAACTGTGACTTGTTGTTGAGTAAATAACAGTGTGTGTTTTAAACCTTGGTCCTCCCTGCAGAGATTTCTCCACTTTCTATAATTTTTTTTTTTTTTTAATGATATTATATGAAAACATATTTATTTATTTACTTTTGTTTCAACATTGGATATTTTGTGTTTGTGGTGGATTCAATCGAATATTGAGAAAATGATTTATGTAAAAATGTTTTACTTACATTTTACCTTTTATTTATTTGACGCTTTTTTTTTACAGTTTTATGTTTACCTTAAAATTACAAAGAAATATCTTAGTCTTATAATAGTAATACACTTTTATATTACGAGTTACATATTTAATTACAGATAATACTTTTTATTTTACGTACATCTGCATGTATTTTCTGAAAGTGCAAAAATACTGTAAATATTATATATTACATTTACTGTAAAAAACAAAGGAAATAAACGTTATTTGTTGTTATTGTCAAAATACTTAAAATAATGTTTTGGGTTGTTAATTTATAGTTAATATCTGTCATTTTACAGGATTTTGCAAGTTATTTAAAAAAAACAAGATAATTACTATAATGTAATGTATAATATAAATGTACAGTTATTTCCTGTAAAATTACGATCTTTTTTTACAGTGTAGACACATCTTCAGTGATGTTCCTGTAATCATCAGGTGTTTTAGATCTTTCATGAAACCCTCCTCCAGGTCAGACTCCAGCTGGATGAGCACCTGTCAGTCAGAACACAGGCCAGTGAAGGCTTGTTGTAGTAACTTTATTGTCCTTGGTCTTGGAATGACCTTCAATCACGCCTCAAACTGAGGGCACTTGTCTCAATAGCATGTTTTAAATTGAAGTTGTGTGAAGTCCTTACGCAGTAATAAGTAGCAGATCACTGCACTGGTACAAACTCATACCGCTATGCTTGGACTGCTGCCCCTCTACATATCCACTTACATATCACACAAACAGTACAGCTATAGACTACGATCTCAAAATCACATCACTCTGTCCGTCCCCTCAGTACGCACGGTGCTTGGGAAAAAAGCCATATCGTACTCTGCCCCCTCGACCTGGAACACCCTTCAGCAGGAACTTAAGCTGACCACTTTGATACCCATCACGGATTTTAAACTCATTTTTAAAAAGCTGGAGAAATCATCTGTGGGTGTTTGCACCTGCTATATCTGACTGCTGTATATGGATTTCAATGACTACTTTTTTTAGTTTAGTGTCCTGTCTGTCTGTAACTTTCTGTGGTAGTGTTACCACTGACAGGTCTCTCTTGAAAATGAGACCTTGTGTCTCAATGAGATCTACACCTGTATAAATAAAGGCTAAATAGAAAATAAAATAAAAGTAGTGCACCTTTCTTACTGTCCTAATGTGCACAATGTAGTGACTGCTTTTTTGTCTTTTGTTTTCTTAGTTATGTTCTCTGTATTTTATATGTTTGTGTTCTGTGTAACGTTGCTGCCTTCTTGGCCAGGTCAGCTTTGCAAATGAGATTATATCTCAATGCTTTTATCTGGTTAAATAAAGGTTAAATAAATACAATTAAAACGTGTCTCTTGTGTGTCTACAGGTTCAGGTGTCCTGGTTCAGGTGCGTTCCAGTGTGCTTCGACTGGCCTGGTGTTCGTCATGGCTCAGGAGGCGGAGCTTCTGTACAGGACGGTCCCTTGGGATGAGAGTCTCCTCCAATCAGCTGGCAAGCAGGCAGCAGGGCCGCTGTTCGACGTGAAGAGTTCTGATGAAGCTGCCCTCTGCCAGCTCCGTCTGCCACACAGTGAGACAGAGGATGGTAAAGACATCTAGTGTTAACAAATATACTTAATGTTTAGCACCTTATAATATCCACTACCGCTCAAAAGTTACAAAGCAGTTTTATTAATTTAGTTTAACAAAGATAAGATAATTCAGACACAAAATCTGTTCTTTACATTCAAAATAGTCGTGTCCCCAAAAGAAGAAGAATGCAATTATTAAAACATCCATTTAGACGATGTGTTTCATGACATCATTATTGAAGCAGACGATGCAATGCAGCTCTAAATACTGAGTTGGAGTGTCTTTGGCTCTCTGCAGTCTCCTCACTGTATATTAAAGACATGTAAACTGTGACCTGTCAGTCCACAGCATGTTTAGCTGCTAACAGTGCGAACTCAACGCTAACTCACTCTAAGCTAGCATCTCAGCAGTCTTTTAAGTTAGAAAATAATTACGCATGCTCACCTCCAGAAAGATCACAGGGGACGGAACAATAATTAAGCATTAGAATAAAAGGTGGAGGATATAAACTGGTACATCCTAGTGAGGCTCCAAAGTGAATGACATCAGATGAACATTAGCTCTGAGCTAAAGTGGTGTGACTTTGAATATGATGAAGCTGTTTCAGCAGCAAAGCAACAGATCTCTGAGCTCTTTGCTCCACAGCGCTGCTCCTGGACGGCCTGTTGTCTGTCGTCCACATCACTGAGGAAGGCCTGAGCATCCTGGAGCCGCTGGAGGTCACACACACCCACGTGGTGGTGAATGTGCCTCACCTCTCTCTCCTCGGCATTATCTTCGATCCATTGAAAAGGCTTCTAAGGTGGCGAATAAATGGCCAAATTCTGGTGTTCCTACGACCCCCGGGCCGAGAGGAACAAATACTGGATGTACATCTTCTGCAGAACAACGTCCTTGTGGAGGAGGTAATGTGCTCACCATCAGACTAAACACTGGTTTTAAACCTGTTTCCACACACACTGCTTCTCTTTTCACGCGTTCTCGTGCTGGGAGAAGATTAAGATCTATCTGAACTGAATTTTTTGCGTATATTGCTTGTGCAGATTTAATAATTAGTTCTTCATTATTAACATGGAGTGCCACACTCTACTTTGGTTATCAAACTCGAAGTTTACCTCAATACTTTAAAATACGTTAAAAAATACATTAAGAAGTAGAGGCCCCCTACTGAGAGAGATAATATGATAGCAGTTGATAAAGCCAGTTGAGTAGCACTTGAAAGGTTTGGCTCTATGAAACCTGATGTACTTTATGATTCTGTTTTCTTCAAGGTTGTGTCTTCCTGGTCGAATGTACTTACTGTAAGTCGCTTTGGACAAAAGCGTCAGCTAAATGCAATGTAATGTAATAGCACGATAGTTTCATTATTTTATAGTCTTTAAGCACGTTTTCTCTGCGGTCAGCACCAACTCTAGGCGGATGGACTACTAGTTACTTTAATACTAACTAGAAAATGCATTTCCTGCTGAAAATGCGTGTGAATGCTGTAAGCTGCACACATTTGTTGCTGAATTTAGCTTAAAAATGCAGAAAAAGCTGAATATGTTATTAGTTGAATGGTGACTGTTTCGCTACAAAAACCAAGTAAGTGTTATGACTCAAATGCATTGCACTGACTTTGTTGAAAACTTAACAGTGACAGTGAAGCTTCATAAACAGGGGTGCACATAACAGGTACGCAGGTTATGTGCGTAATCTGAAATGCGTACCGTCACTTGTGTCACAAAGCGCATTTCCGTACCGACGTACTGGTGAAGCTTTTCCAGAAGGCGGTTAGATCACCGGACGACAGAGTCGGTCTCCGTGTGCACAGACAGGGCTGCTGTTAACGTCGGTCTGTACAGCAACACTGCGCTAAAACAGCTGATCACAACATTCGCGAAGCTCTGTATACTACACTACCACCCCGATGACATTTGCGATACAGAGGGCTTCATGGGAACTCTGAGGGGAGCCAGAAGTTAGAGTACCAAAAATGTACTCCAGGTACTCATCCGAGTACCTCACTGAGAAAGTTGTGTGCACCCCTGTTAATAAACAACAACATGTATTGCCTAAATGTCCTGAAATAGCTGAATAATGTTGTAGTTGAATGGTTTTTGTAGCTGAAAGTAGTAGTATACTATAAGTAGTAGTAGTAGTAGTAGTAGTAATAGCTGTACTAGTAGTAGCAGCTGTAGTATAAGTAGCTGTAAAAGGAGTAGTAGTTGTATTAATAGTAGTGGTGTTAGTAGTAGTGTTCTATCAGGGGGTCACAGGTTCAAACCCCACTACAGTCAGCATGTCGTTGTGTCCTTGAGACCCTTCACCCCAAAGTGCTCCTGTGGGGATTGTTCACAGTGTTGAGTAAGTGAGTCTCTTTGGATAAAAGCGTCTAACAAGTGACATGTGATGTAATGTAATGTTAGTAGTAGTAGTAGTAGTAGTAGTAGTAGTAGTAGTAGTAGCAGTAGTAGAAGTAGTAGTAGTAGTAGTAGTAGTAGTAGTAGTAGTAGTAGTAGTAGTTGTATGAGCAGTAGTAGCAGTAGTATAAGTAGTAGTAGTAGTAGTAGTAGTAGTAGTAGTAGTAGTAGTAGTTGTATGAGTAGTAGTAGTAGTAGTAGTAGTAGTAGTAGTAGTAGTAGTAGTAGTAGTATGAGCAGTAGTAGCAGTGGTAGTAGTTGTGTTAGTAGTATAAGTAGTAGGAGGAGCAGTAACAGTCATAGTAGTTGTTGAAGTAGTAGAGGGCTTTTATTTAGAAAAAATAATTTGGATACGGATATTCTAGGGCTTTTATTTTGAAGGTGTGTGTGGTTGGGGGGATGAGAGGGGGAGAAAAACAAATCTGTGTGTGGGTGTGTGTGTGTGTGTGTGTGTGTGTGTGTGTGTGTGTGTGTGTGTGTGTGTGTGTGTGTGTGTGTGTGTGTGTGTGTGTGTGTGTGTGTGGTGTGTGTGTGTGTGTGTGTGTGTGTGTGTGTGTGTGTGTGTGTGTGTGTGTGTGTGTGTGTGTGTGTGTGGACTTTTGTCACTGAGATCACTATTGGGCCCGAATGGTGGGTCAGTTTGATATGATGAAGGCATATAGGCAAGCCAGACAAATGTTGCTACTGAAATCTTTTGAAATTATTTGAATAGAGTTTATATTTTGGGATTGAGAGCAGTTTTACAATATTTTAAAGGCTCTCTACACTCTAAGTGATTATGTCACACACTCTAGCCCTGAGAGTCTGTCCCATATGCCCCCAGAAAATGACACCAGTAATGACAAACAGATGAGAATGTTGCGTGGGGTCTGGGTGCCGTGTTGGCGGGACGTTTCGGGGCTCGCTGCTCCGCCCTTTGAGGCTCGAGGAGCGGACAGTGTGAGCTGGATTACTGGTGTTGTTTCCTGGTTGCTGCGTGGGGTCTGAGCTCCACGGAGCACCGCGGAGCTGAGTGAGTGAGTGTGTGTGCAGAGCTTGGTCTATATCCAGCATCCAGGGAAACACAGCGGGAAATCCACCTCACACTGTCTGCTCCGAGACATGCTCGGGAGTCCCGCCCTGGCAGAGGGTGTGCCTATTGTTCTATAGCTGTGTGCCAATTGGTCCATTTGGACTTAGGGACGTCAATAGGCCCCGGAAGAAAAACATGGAAAAAATAAACATCTACAACGAGGTGTTCTGGGGCAGCACCAAGCCCCCAGGGTGTGCGCCGGACTCAGAGGCAAAAATGTGTTGTGTCCAAACGGCGGTACTACAATTTCCGTATCAGTCCGTGATGTCACCCGGCCCAGAAAGACTTTTCCCCATTGACTAACATGGGGAAAGAAACGTCTGTAAATCAGCGGATAATCTTTTTTAAACTAAATAAACTACCCAGTATGAGCCCTTATTAGAATCTTTCGGTCCTTAAAGTTGTAAAATGCACTAAAAGCCGAATCTAGATATATTTTCTCTCACCATTCATTCTAGCTAGCCGAGAGTGGGAGCTCAGGAGGCGGGGCTTAATGACATGAGGCGGGGCTTAAGGGGCGCATGCTCTGTGAGCTACATATGGGTTCTACTGCTTTGACAGCTAGGCATGCTGGGTAATCTGTGACGTTTCGCTCTCTCAAAAGTTGGGCCATTTTACCTTCATGCGCCAATGAGCAGCTCTCATTGGAAAGAACGAGACCCCGCCTCCCAACGAGACCCCGCCTCCCACGCTGCATCCAGTTCTTATCCTGGGATCAGGATGAAGAGAGTCAGGATGATGAGAGTCAGGATGTAGAGTCAGAGTCTGGTTGCTAACAAACACCATTGTAAAACATAAACACTGATGTTCCGCTGTAACGGTGGTGGACTCATCAGAACAGAGTGGGCGAGCTGACCAATCAGAGCACAGTGGGCTCACAGAGGGGTGGGGGGGGGCAGGAGCTCCAACAAGCCGTGCAGGACAGAGAGTGAATACACAGACTATACAGAGATGCTGTTTGAGAAACCAATGAGAGTTTGGAACATTGAACAATGTGAATCTATTCTAGTCGACCTCAACAATGGAACTATGATCAGTGGAAATGGCCATGGGACCTTTAATGGCGAGTACGGCAAATAATAATAATAATAATAATAATAAATGATATTTATATAGCGCCTTTCAAGGGACCCAAGGTCGCTGTCCATCGGTCGCTGGACAAACAAAACAAACAGACAATCAACGGGCAAACCAAAGAAATAAAAAAAGGAAGCCCGGGGACCAGAAAAGGGCTCGGGCCCGAAGGCCAGGGTGAACAGGTGTGTTTTTAGTGATGATTTGAAGATGTCCAGGGAGGCAGCATTACGGATCTCAGCAGGAAGTGCATTCCAGAGGGTGGGGGCCGCAACACTGAACGCCCTGTCACCAACAGTTCGGAGGAGAGAGCGGGGGATGGAGAGCAGGCCCGTGTCTGAGGACCGCAGACTCCGAGAAGGGGTGTAGGGATGGAGGAGGTCCGATAAGTACTGGGGGGCGAGGGTATGGAGGGACTTGTACGTGAGGAGGAGTGTTTTGTATTGAATCCGGGACTTGACCGGCAGCCGGTGGAGGTGGATGAGGGTGGGGGTGATATGGTGCCATGGCTTGGTGTGGGTGAGAAGACTGACGGCAGAGTTCTGGACGTATTGGAGCCTATCCAGGGTTTTGCTGGGAACCCGGACAGGACTCCATTGCAATAGTCCAGACGGGATGTAATGAAGGCGTGTACCAGGGTTTCTGCCACAGAGTCAGAGAGAGAAGCCGGATTCTGGCAATGTTTTTTAGGTGGTAGAAGGCGGATTTGGTGACAGATTTGACGTGAGCCTGGAAAGAGAGGGTGGTGTCCAGGATGACTCCCAGGTTGCGGACTTCAGTGGACGGGGAGATGGAGCAGCCGTCAATGGAGAGAAGCAGTTCTCCAACCTTCTGGAGCTGCGCCAAATAAAATAAGAGTTGTAACAAGTAGTAGCGCTGAGCAAATTGAGAACACAACGACACACTTGTAAAAAAAAACACACTTTCTAAAGTCAGGCAACACTAACCAGGCTTCGTGTGATTCTGTTTATTTGTACCTTACTTTGACCATCCGTTCACTGTTATTGATCATTGTGGAGAGAGGCAGACGTGTTGTTTTGTATTATAGCAGCTATCGGATGGAATCAATACATGGGCTGCACAGGTTGTCGTGTCCGACTATCACAAGTAGAATCATAATGAAAATACGCCGGTAAAATGTGCCTGTAGAAAACGGCTTATGCCACAAGTTAAAGCAACAAGCAACAAGTAGCCAATATAGTCAGTTTAGCTTCGGTTGCTATGCTAACATCACCCATTTTATACCAGAGAAACTTTCATAACAGCGTTGTGATGCCAAACAGCGTCAATTCATACTGAAACACATTCACTTATTATGTCATGATGCAGCAGCGGCAGCACCAGTCGGGCTCTGAGT